CTTGCTTTTATTTCTTCTAAGGTAGAAAGTTTGTAAATAGTATGTCAGATAATGTTTGCCTAGTTTCCTCTTAGGAGGTTTATTGTATCTTGTCTTATGTTTAAGTCTTTGATCCATTTTGAGTTCATTTTTGTATATGGTGTAAGGGTGTGTTCTAGCTTCATTGTTTTACATGCTTCTGTCCAGTTTTCCCAACACCATTTGCTGAAGAGACTGTCTTTATTCCATTGTATATTCTTGCCTCCTTTGTCAAAGATGAGTTGACCAAAAGTTTGTGGGTTCATGTCTGGGCTGTGTGTTCTGTTCCATTGGTCCATGTGTCTGGTTTTGTGCCAGCACCATGCTGTCTTAATGACTGTAGCTCTGCAGTACTGCCGGACAGGACTTCTAGAATGGCTCGTCCAGAACCATCGGTCAGCTCAGCCAAAGTTCTGACACCTGCTGGAACAGGCTTGGGCAGAGCCCCACATGCAGGCCATTCTGGCTGGTGTGTGGTTGGGCGTCCCCGGAAAGCGACAGGGCCACCCTTGGCCATTTGGGGCTGGCAACATCTGCTTACCCGGACTCCCCTGTCACGTGGGTCAGGTCAGAGGAGCCATCTCCATTCAGTTCACCCTGCAGCCTTGCTGGACGCCCCCTGGGAGGGAGCAGGGACACCCACAGACGGGGCAGGGCCGGGGGCAGAGGGCAGAGGGGATCCCTGCACGTCCTGAGGACGGGAGGAGGCGTTCTGTATGGGAACAAGGCTGAGCTATAAAGGGCTGTGCAAGTGGAAATGATTATTCTTATCGTTGCTTGTATCCGATTCATCCATCACTGGGGAGAGGAGGAATGCGGGTACCTTTTATCTGGTGCTATGAATCAAATAGAATAGGATGTGCTTTTCCAAAAGGTTTTAGGGTAAATGGGAGAGATTCTGCTTTTCAAAACAATCCATCTGGGCCCCCGGCCAAACCTTGGCACCTTGGGCAGAAGCCGGACCTTCTGAGCTTTACCCACAGGGTCCCCCAATGCCCCATTGCTGGCAGCACCTCCAGCCTCCACACAGCTGCTCACACTGCTGCCTGCTCAGACCCCACCTGGCCAGCACACGGGGCCTCCCCAGTGTCTCTTGTGGCCCCCATGTGGGACCTGGTGGAGCACAGACCCTGCTCCGAAATAGCAGTGACTCTGAGGAAGAAACTCCGTCGGCCTCTCTGCACACTGCGCCCACATGCCCCTCACTCCCTCTCTTCACACGGAGGCCCAGCACCTTCTGGCACAGGCCCTGGAGAGGAGCCAGGCGGGGCAGGCAAAGCCACCCAACTCTGCAGCGCCTCTGCTTCCCCGTCTGTAAAGTGGGAAGGAGGGCCTCCCACACACTGCTGTTCTGGGCTGAGCGTGTCCATCCGACCAAGTGGTCACAGCCGGCCTGGATGCAGCCCAGGCCCATAGGTGTCGGTGGTGGTGGTGGTGACGAGGAGGGGTTACCACCACCCTCCAGGGCCTTCCATCGCCCGTGAGATGGGCATCCCACCTGGGCGGGTGCGGCTCGGCCTATGCCAGCACTAATCTCTCTCTCCGGGGCTGGGCACGGGGACAGGTGATGGATGACTGCAGCGTGATCGGCCGCTCCCTGTTCAAAAAGGAGACCAACATCCAGCTCTTCGTGGGGCTCAGGGTGCACCTGTCCACTGGAGAGCAGGGTGTCATTGACAGTGCCTTCGGCCAGAGTGGCAAGTTCAAGGTCCACATCCCGGGTGAGTGCAGTCCCTTCCTCCTGCTCAGGGGAGCCGGGCAGGGCACGGAGAGCTGGCGGAGACGGCGCCCAGATGGAGCCCCTTGGCTCTGGGTTCTAGGCCCGCCTGTGTGGGTGCTCCAGGCTCAGCCCACATGGCGTTGCAGGTTCTGGTCCCACCGGCTTTGGCTGGAGACTGGTGTGGGTCCTGGAGGCCCCTGGCTTGGACTCGGCACTTCACGTGGTCCGTGTGCAGGGAAGATAACAGTGCTGCTCTGACAGGCGGTTTGGGGGCACGGCTGATGAGGGAGACCACCAGGGGCTGGCACGCTGCCCTGGTCACCGTCGGGTTTCCCAGAATGCAAGTTGTCACCTTCTTTCCAACCTGGCGGACTGTGAGCCTCCCGCTTGGTCGGAGCTGAACTTGTTCCCGACAGGGTCGAGGTGTGTGTGTGCTGCTGGATGCAGGCCCCTGGGTTTCCTTAGCTCCACCCTGTCACTCGTCACACCTCCACCCCAACGTCCTGAGGTCCTGCTGCGCCAGGCATGCTGCCGTGGTCGTGGTTGTAGGGGTGGGACAAAGCAAACTGTGCAGGAGGTGTGGACAGCGGCAGCCAGGGAGACCTCTGGGAGGAGGTGACTGCTGAGTGGGGGGCAATCAGAGGGACGGAGGGGGCCCCGCGGGTACCGGGAGAGGGGCGCTCTGCGGAGGGAGTGAGGCTGTGCATGGCCCGGCCCGAGGACGGGCTGTAGTGGGGCAGTGCTGAGCAGGGGGTCGGGGGACTCGGGGGCCCTGCTGAGTGCCTGGCGGCAGGAAAGGCCGAGGCGCTTCCATCAGTAGATCTGTGTGACGCGCGCGTCAGGACCATCTTCACGCGCAGCGAGCGCCGTAACCGCCTGCCTTCAAGTCCGCGTGTTGCCATGCCACTCGGAGCTGAGCCGTGGGACGGGGTTTGGCTCCGTGAGGGATGGAAAGCCATGGGGCAGTTTGCTTCTGGTTAACGAGGGGGTCTTGGAGTGCGGCCCCTCCAGGGACTCTGCAGGCAGGGGGTCGCCAGCCCTCTGCGAGACCTCCTTCCAGAGCCCGGCCCAGCCCTTGCCTCGGGAATCCTCCCTCTGGCCCTGCTTGAGGGAGGGCGGTGGTCCCCAGGACCTGCTTCCCTGCAGTACTTGCTGCGGGACTGCGCCCCGAGGCCCCCACTGAGCCCCCTCACAGAGGAGGTGCCCCGTCACGGATGAGGTGCACCCCTGGGGGGCCTCTGGCCATGGCACCGGGCTTCAGGCTCCTGTCCCATCCTCTCCACTGTCCCTCAGATGCTCCTGGTCGTCACCTCGGCCAAACTGAGGCCCACGGTGCCCTGTTCTTGGCCCCAGGGAGTACACGCAGGCCAGTGTCCAGACCTCAGTCCCCAGGGCCCCGGCCCACACCTGTGGGGCCCTCCGGGCACTTGGTGGGGGTGAGAACCACGCTGCCGGGAGGGAAGGGCACAGCCTGGAGCACTCAGCCCCCAGGCCCCAGGGCCCTGCCTGCTGGTCCAGACACGCAGGTGGGGGGCGTCTTCAGGGTGGACTCATCCTGCTGACCTCCCTGTGGCTCCCCTTCCTCTTGCCCCAGGCGAACCCAGGGCTCGGGAGGAGGCCTGTCTGGGGCCCTGGGTGCTGGGGCGGGAGAACGGGGGGCGGGGGGCGTGGTGACGCTGCTTCAGTCAACTCGAGTTCACATTCCTGTCTTAGGTCAATGTTGCCCTTTTAATAGGTCTGCTTCCTGTTTGTGGCTTTTAAGCTTTTTATTAAATATAACTGGTTGGATTCCTTCATCCCTCCCACCCGACTCCCCACCCCCCACCCCCTGCTCATCTCTTCCGGCCATCCCTCCCTTAGAGAACTGCTCTTAACCTTCTTGAAGTGCTAATTGTGAAAGAATCTTCAGGACCCAGAGACACCCAGTGCCAGGTGGAGGAGGGGTGGGGTTGAGCCGGAGGCGTGGAGAGGCCGGGGTCTTGGTGCCGCGCACGTTAGGCTCCGGGAGCAGGGAGCAGCCGGGGCTGTCCGGCCCGCAGACCGTGGATGGGGCCGCCTTCAAATGCAGCTGACGGGCCTCCTGCTCACTCTGCAGGGTGGCCTGGCCAGGAGTCCTCTGGGTGTCTCCCCAGCCCCTGCCCCCAGGCCTAGGTGCTCTGGGGCCTCTCACCTCGGATGGCAAGGCCGACAGGGCCAAGCAGATGTAGAAGAGGCCAGTGGCAGGCGACAGGGAGTGGAGGGGACTGTGGGGGCCTGGGAACACGGGCTTCAGGTTCGCGAGTCCAGGCTGAGTGTGGTGATAAGGAAACAGCGTCCTATGGAGCCGCAGACTCTGGCTTCTGAGACAAGGGTCCTGGCACTCGGTCCATTGCTTCCCCAGAAGATGCTCTTAGAAAGCAGAGGGGCTGGAAGGGCAGTCCCATCCTGACCCCTGAGGAGCCTTCCCAGAAAGTCTCGGGGGGTCTCAAATTTGGAGAGCCCCACATTTACACAGCTGTTCCCTTCAAAACAGTGGCCTCTGCTTGTGAGGCCTGGGAGGCTGGAGGCCCCACGAGAGGAGTTAGGGCGGCGCTGCTGGTTGCGAGGGTAGTGGAGGACATTGCCAGCAGAGGAGAGGCTCCTCCAGGCAGACCTCCTCCTGTCTGCGTCGCAGCATCACTGGCCCCCGAGCGCTGCCTGCGCACCAGGCGCGTGGTCTCAGGGCTGGTCTCGTTGTCTCCATCCCTGGGGCACTGGGGAGCAGAGGGGCCTGGTGTGCAGCTCCCGCCAGCCCCACGAGTCCTGCTTGGCAGGGAAAACGAGCTCCATGGTGACTTCCAGCCAGAGAAGAGTCAGGTGGGGGCACCGGTGACCTGGCCCTCGTGACAGCTGTGAGTCGCTCCCAGGACTGCTGGAGGGGACATCTCGGGGCCTCACCACCCTCATCCGGCGACCGCACGATGCCCAGGAGGTGAACGGGCACAGAGCCGAGCCTCCTGCCGACGGTCACCTGGGAAAAGCCTGGAGCAGCAACTGGGAAGCAGGGTCACGGTGAAGGCTGCGTCACACCGGGCCTGCCCTCATGCGACTCAGTCTTGCTGTGGGGCGTCCAGATCCTCAGCCAAAGCCTAAATCGGACCCCAGGCCCTGTCCTCCTTCCCAAAGCCGCCTCCTCCCTCCCACAGCGACGCGCTGTGCTGTGTGCGCCTGCCCCACGCCCGCTGCCCAGCCTCTCTCCTCGGGCACCTACCCATCTCTTGGTTTTCTGCTTTGAAAAGAATTGGAACACAAAGTTGTATACGCCAAGTGGCTGAGCACGTAAAAGGAAGCTTTTGCAGAGAGAAGAAATCGAGTGAAAATATTGATGATGGGCTATGGGAGAGTTCTAGCCTGTTTATTTTTCTTTAATGTGCAGATTTCATTGCCTGAGCCTTGTGAGGCCCTTCTCCCAAGACGGCATCCGCATGTCTGGCCCAAGGCCAAGACCCTCTGTGCCAGGCCCGTGCTGAGCCCTGAAGCCGAGCCCAGACCCGGGCCTGTCCTCAGCCGCTTGGTCCCCAGGCGGGTCTCTGTGTCACAGGAGGCAGCTCCCTCCCCCCATAAGGCCGGGTGTGGAGGAGGTCCGACCAAGAGGCTGCAAGAGAGGGAACTGAGGACTAGGGGGCGTCTCAGATCCTGGAAGGGTGAGTCACCCTTCACTAGACCCGGGACAGCCTGAGCCCCGAGGGGCAGGGCCGTGTTGGATCTGTGCAGCTGCCTCCGAGGGCCAGCACCGTCCCAGGAAACAGGCCATCTGGCGCCCCCAGCCAGCGGGCGACTCAGAAGGAGGCAGGGGGCCTGGTGAGGGGCCCGGGGTGGGCTGGCCGGGCTCACTCCAGGTAGTGGGGGGCCACCAAGGGTGTGTGGGCAAAGGAGGCCAGGATCTGAAGTGTTGGAGGCTGGTGCTGGCTCTAAGGCCTGGGGCCGTGACCCACCCCTGGGGTCCACAGCGGGCCCTGGGAAGCCTCAGGTTGGCCTCTCTCGTCCCCACCCCAGGCCGGCTTCTGGTCCAGCTGCCTTCGCGCCTCCAGCCTGTCCCACTTCAGCCCTGCAGGGGCCTGAAGCCTTGTCAGGCAGCGGCCCAAGATGAGGGTGGACCTCCCCGGGCGCTTACGGGCACCCTGCCGGGTTCTGTCCCCAGCGGCCGAGGAGACACCAGAAAGCGGCTTGGATGGGAGAAAAGAGGCTGACGAGAGGTGAGGGGTGAAAGCTGAGGTTTCAGAAAACCCCAGCACAGCTGGGAACAAGCCATCCGTCTCTCTCACTGGCGTCGGAGCCCGGCCAAGACCTCGGTGGGTCTTGGCCCCACGTCTGTGGGGCGGCAGCTCTGAAATCGAAGCCAGAAACAGCCAGCTGCTGCCCCCACCCACTGCCTCTCCCGGAGGCCATCCTGACGGAGGAGGACCTTTCAGACAGCACTCTGGGGTGTCTTTTTCCCCCCAAAAGAATGGCCAACCTCCTCCCCTTTCGGCCACTGAAGCATTTCAAAGCAATTGTAAAAATTATATGAACTCCATCGAAGAACTGTTACAACAATGTTTATACCCAGTATTTGAAACAAAGACAATGATATTATAAATAATTGTAGATGATGAAGATAGGCAGGAAAAACTAACATCATTAAAAGAATTTTACAAGACGGACTGTTCACAAAGATGGATGGAGTAACACAATACGTTAAAAATATCTGCAATTAACATAAACACAGCGCAGTGGACAGAAACCATCTGCCGGCAGGCCTCACCCTGGGCACATTCCCATGTCATCCGCCGGGCGGTGCCAGGGGCCCCGGGAAGAGGCCGGCTGCGGGCGTGTGCCCAGCACAGCCTGGGACCCCGTTAGAAGGAAGTCCACCAACGCACAGGAACCAGGGACTGAAGAAGTGCCTTCTTGGGGTCACAGAGCTTCCCTTCCCTGACCTGGGTGAGGTCAGCCCCGTCCGTGTCACTGCTGTCGGATGCCGCGCTGTTCCCTTGACAGCTGCGACGGGCAGCCTGTGGCCCCTGACGCTTCTCGGGCACGTGGGCAGTGGCGGTGCCGAGGGCCTGCGCACGTCAGCCCGGCCAGCTCTCGTGGCAGCTGGGCATCATTGTCCCTGGGACAGACTGCCCACAGCTCAGTGGGCTCCTGGTGCCTCTTTCTCCTTTAACCAGTATCTGGTTTTCTAAATATAAATTAATAAATAAAGTTTTCTTTTAATCCTGGAAAACTTTGGCCACACAGAACAGAACAGACACCCCGAAACCAGCAAGATGGAACAGACGTGACCGTTCTGTCCTGTGCCTCCCACTCCTCCGGCCAAGACAGCCCTGCAGACGAGGTGGGAGCACGCCCCCTCCCCGGGCCCTGGCTCTCCCTGCGCAGGCGGTGTCGTCGTGTGACCCAGTGTCCCCGAACTTGGTCCCGCGCTGGCCCAAGGGTCGCTGGGGCGCTGGCTGCTTCGGTTTCAGAGCCCACCGCACAGTCAGCATCCCGGCCAACCCCTCTGCCTGCGTGTTGCCCCGCAGCCTGTGCACCTGCCACCTGTCAGAGCGCAGGGGTCCTTCCCACTTCTCCCCGCGTCGAGGCAGCGTGGAAGCACTTCCCTGGGCCTCTCCCACGTCTGGTCCTGGACATGCGTGTCTGCAGGTGGGACAAGGACCTGCCGCCTCCCCCACTTCCCGCTTCTTTTGCCATCTGAAGGCTGCAGTCATTGGATTTCAGAGCAGCTTGTCCTCAGCCTGGTTTCTTGGAGGCCCGGGACCAACCCTAAATATCAGGCGCCTGCAGGAGTCCTTCCAGCCTCCCCAGAGAGCAGAGCTGGGTGAAGGGGAACCTGGGCCCCTGGTCTGCTCTGTGTGATCTCTGCTGGCGGCCACTTCCCCTCTGTAACGTGGCATCAGCGTAGGTTGGGACCGACCTTCCTGCGCCCCCAGGCAGTCACGTCACAGGTGTGGAGTCTGTCGCGGTGCCTTCAGGAAGGGGGTATGTGCAGACGTGTGGACACAGCTGCGTGAGCTTGTCAGTGAGCCTCTCTCCGCCTGCCTGCTCATCTCTGCTGTTGTTGGAGGGGGCTGGTTCCTGGAGACTGGCCCCTGGGCCGGGCCTTGCCACAGGCACTGGGTGATTTCTCTGGGCAGGACGGGCGGCTTGAGACCACTGGGGACCTTGGAGGGGCCGCCTGCCCCAGCTCTGGAGCTCACGTCCAGCTCCTTCATGTGCTGCACCCTCGGCTCAGGCCAGGGACTTGGGGGCAAGAGAAGTCGCTGCCCTCCTGCCCTCCGGGGTTCCACATCATCAGAGAGCTGGGCACTAGGAAGAAAGCAGGCAGGTGACAGGAAGCGCACAGTTCCCTGGGGTCTAGATGAACCCGGGGCACTTTTGAGAAAGCCGCATGGTGGCAAGACCTGGCTCATGACTCAGAGTTCACTAGGGTGGCCGGAGGGTGTGTGCAAAGGCCCTGTGGCTGGGCCCTGGGCAGGATAAGTGGTAGAACATGCAGTGGGAGAGTTTGGTGGGGCCAGTTGCACCTCGGCCTGGTGTGGACTTCATCCACAACCTCGGGACAGAAGCCATAAGAGCCAGGCCTGAGCTTGTGTCTCTGAGGCCACTGCCTGGGTCACCTTAGGCAGATCTCTGTTTCTTCTTCTGAAACGGGGGTCCTAACATCCACCTCCCAGATTATGAAGAGTAACAACCCTTGTAGCCTCCGGCCTCAGGCTCTCAGGGCTGCCAGAGGACAGACAAGCTGCCTTCAAACTCCTGGACCTTGAGGTGACTTGCCTGAGAACAGGGGGCCACGTGGCCCTGCAAGCCAGGTCCGCAGGAGGCCCAGGAGTGTTGCCTGCCGAGGGCAGACGCTGCGGCCGCCAGCCAGAGCACACGGCGTGGGGGGAGGGCACAAGCCCACCGCCCAGGTGCGGCCCGCTGGCCCGGGGCAGAGACAGGCGACGCCGGCTCCGCCCTCCCCGCGGCCCAGGCCCACCTGAGGGGGCCCTGGGCCAGTGGGGCTGTGTGGGCCGTGGGCCTGTGCGTCCCCAGGTGCGTGCCCGTCGGTGTGTCTGTGCCCGTCAGCGTGAGTGTCTGTGTGTGTGTCTTCACAGAAGGGAGGTGAGTGGGAGGCCAGCTTCCTGCCGGGGCAGTTGTAAAACATTCATAAACCTTTTATGGGACTTGCCACCCTTCCAGATAAATATTTTTCGATTTTATGGGCTTGTTTTAGGGCCCTAAGCTTAATCATGGCTTTGTAGCTGCCTTTAAAAAAAGTTAAATATTGTTTTGGCAGACGGAGCCCCTCCCCCAGCCCCACCAAAGGCAGCTCTCTGGGCCCATAAATTCCCACCACTCTCAACTCTTGCCCTCTCTCCCTTCGTGCCCTCGTGGCCACACTCGGGTGAACCTGAGGAAAGAGAAGGGAGGGAGAGAGAAGGAAAAGTGACTCCCGCTTCCCACTGCCCGCCCCCGCCTAGTGCAGCTCACGGTGTCCAGGGAAGGAAGCAGCCCGGGGCGCCCACACGGCCCTCCCCGCCATGCCAGCGCCTTCCTGCCCGCGTGGGGCAGGTCGTGAGTGAAGCCCCCTCCTGTGCTCTGCCTCAGATCCTCAGCCACTCCTTCCTGCCTTTGAGGCCTCAGACGGGCCTCCCTGAGCGCCCCCCCAGGGACCACCCGCCCGGACTCAGTGCCTCTCTCTGTCACTCTGCTCTGCCTCCTTCACAGCACACATGGCTCCCAGAAACCTTCTCCTCCCTGCATGGCTTGTGAGCCTGTCCCCCTGGCGGACACAGCCCACACGCTGCTGTGGCCCCCACACCTTGACTGGGGCCTAGGGCACTCAGGTGTCCGGCGTGTGCTGTGACGTGTGCCTGGTGGACACCCTGGGGGCGGTGACTGAAGTGTGACAGAGGTCCATGCTTCTCAGACCTTGCTCTGTGCCGGACACTGTCCTCAGTGCTTCCGCCCTGTTGACTCCCGTGGGCCTTCTGACCGCCCTGCAGAGAAGTTCTGCTGCTGCCCCACTTTCAGGATGAGGAGACTGAGGCCCAGAGTCAGATGCCTTGCATGAAGCCACACAGCTGAGCTGAGCCATCCCTGGATCTTGGCTGTTCCACTTGATTCCTGGCGGAGAACACGAGGGAGAGCACGTGCCCTTCTGGGCGCCGCAGCCCGGCCCGAGCCCTGCCCAGCAGCCACAGCCAGCACTCGTGCCAGGCCCTGGGCCAGAGACCCCGCGCCAGGGGCAGGCTGAGGCTCGGGGCTCGCACTGCTGGCCGCCAACTCAGGTGCCTTCAGGAACAGCAGGGGACAGAAGTGGGGGAGCCGGTGCTTGGCAGCAGCAGAGAGGAGCCACACAGCGCACCCCTCCCTCTGCTGCAGAGTGGGAGCCTGAGGATGGGCCCTCTGGCTTTTCGGGACTAACTAGAAATGCAGAATTGCGTGTCCAGTGTCCTACGTTTGAAGGTGAGTCATTCAAGTATTTCAGCGATGCTGTGAAGGCTGCTTCCACCCCCAGGCCGGTGCTTTCCTTTTGCCTCTGATGAGAGTGTGAGCCCCAGGAAGGAGGCCCCCAACACGTCTGCCTGTGGGCGCAGAGGAGCAGCCGCCCAGCCTGGCTAGGGAGGAGGCCTTCTTAGAGGAGGCAGCACTGAGCTCAGCCTTGAAGGAGGGTCTGTTCATGCACCCTCACTGCCCCCAGCCACACTGGAGACCACGCCTGGACCCCCTGACTGGTGGAGGGGGGGGTGACGGGGGGCTCCGGGTGCCGACCCCAGCTCAGTCTCCTCGGGGCCCTGTGTGCCCCAGGCTGGTGCGAGGGCGCCGAGTCGGGGAAGGGGCGGGGGTCCAGCCCTCTCCCCGGGGCTCAACCCGTGGTGCTGTCTGCCAGCCCCTGGTTTCCTTGACCTGTTGGGTCTGCCTCGCCCTCCCAGCCCTGCTGCCACACCCAAGGACCACACGGGTGGCAGACACGTCCGCGTGCACGGAGCTCACTCGGGACTGGCAGCTTGGGCACCCAATGTTTAAGGTCTCCACAAGGTCTATCTGGAAAACAGAGGAAGACAGCTTGTTTCCAGGGCTGGGAAGGCAGGGCGCCCTTCCTGCTCCAGGCTCACAGAGAACACCAGCCAAGCCCGGCCTGCCTCTGAGGGGCTGTGCGTGTGCAGAGGGGTGGGTGGCCCTGTGCTCACCCAGGCGGCAGCCTCTGAGGGTCAGGGAGCCCACGGCTGTCACATTGAGAGTGTGGACGGAGCCCGTCCCTGTCAGCCAGAGAGGACAGCCAGCGCCGCGCCTGCCCGCCCCTCTGCCCGCACCCTGGAAGCCGGGCTGATACAGTAATCAGGATGCCACACATGGACCCCGGGCCATGGCGGCTCCCTGGCCCTTTGTTCCCCCTCATTATTCTGGAGGAGGGTTTTTTCCCAAGTCATAAAAATGACATTTTTAATATGTGGAATTTTTTTAAAGAAAAGCAATATGAAGAAGACTTTTATTGTCAATAAGCTCTACCTTTTAAAGCAGTTATCTCAGTTTCTGCTCTAGGTATTTTAATTGAAGATTAACTGCTGTTAAAGAGCGTACACATTTAGGGAGTGAGTGTTCGGAGGATTAAAATTCGGCCCCCTCGGTGGTGGGGACATTCTCCGTGGGGCCACCAGGAACCGCGCCCTCCCCCTCAGCCTCCAGGGGGCCCTGCGGGAGGGGGAGTCCTTGCTGTCCGGTGGAGGGACAGAGCCTGGCAGCAGAGCCCACGCACCCATCCCAAACCCCTCATCCTCACCACTCAGAGCGGGGTGGGGCCACCGCGTCACACGGCCGGGCGTCCAGACTGGACCTCAGGCTAAGAGCTCCATCCCGGCCGCGCGGTTCCCCCCAAGGCCTGTTCACTGTTTCTGGAGCCTCCACGTTCAGGAAAACCTACCGAGGGAGGGGCCCTGCCCTAGCAGGGCGCTCTCATTTGAGAGACACGCGTGCACATGCCTGCACATCCCCGGCAGAGCCAGGCCCCCGTCTTCACCAGCAGAGAGGTGACACTCTGGGGGGCTCTGGAGAGGGGGCACGCGCTGTGCTCCCACCACCTGGAGGACAGCCGGGGCTCTGGGGGCTGTTGAGGCCGTGTGGCCGCCTCTCTGCCGCTGACTGTGTGGCCTTGGGTGAGTCGTTCACACCCCCAGGCCCCGGCTTCTGCCCCTGCTGGCGCAGTGGAGGGGGGTCTTCCTCACGTGAGCCGAGGCTCGAGAGAGGGCTTCCCCACCCTTCCTGGGCCGGGATCCGGGATCTGGCCTCTGCCCTTGGGAAGCCTCGGCTGGGTAGGGATGGGGCCGCATGCACCACGATGGAGGCCGTGGGTCAGGACCAGTCTGGGCAGGGGCAGTTTGAGCTCAGCCCACCGTGTCTTGGCCGTGACCTTGGTCTCCCTCCTATTGACCTGATGCCGCATCCTTCCTTGCGTGTGAGGAGCCTGCCCCCAGGGTATGGTGCGGAATCAAGGGCACGGTGGCCCAGGAGCACTTGGAGCGGTGCCTGGACAC